TTTTCTTAAGGTTTTTGTTTGGGCTGTTTTATCTTGGGCTTTCAAGCTCATCTGATTTGTCTTTCTTCAAGCCTATTTATTTACCCTATTCAATTGTGTGGCCCATATCAGATTTTGATATTTTTTTTACAAATATTTTCTAGATTTTTTTAATTTTTGGATTATTTTTTTTGAGGTCTTAACTGATTTTATCTGATTTGAACTGTTTGATCTGTTTTTGAACTGTTTTGAGATGAATCGTTTTGTGTCACGTAAACTGTTTCTTATCAGTTTTAACTGTTTATGACTGTTTTCAATAGTTTTAGACTGTTTCTACTGGTTTTTAGCTGTTTTTGCTGATTTTCTGATTTCTCAACAATTTTTGAGCGTTTCTGAGAATTTTTTGAGCTTATTTGATTTTGATTTCTTTGACTGATTTCATCGCATTAGATTCTTGTGATCAATCTTGATTTCTGAAATGGCAGTATATCTAGAGAAGGAGAATAGAGAGCTGACAAATAAGATTCCAGAGTTGGAGAAAAGCTTAAAGGACTATACAGATAAATATATCAACATGTTTTATGAAGATCATACTAATGAGGAACTTGCTACCAATTTACGGAAGGAACATAAAAAATCTATGGAACAAGTTGAAAAGGACTTCATGCATAAGATTGAAAAGCTTGAGAAAACTATGAGGTCTGTCAGAAAAGAGTATGATGACGAATTGAAAACATGGAGTAAAGTTAATAAAGATCTGTTTAATAAACTTTCAGAGGTTAGAAGTGAACTGCAAACTGAGAGGAGCTCTTCTGGGAGAAAAAAATACCGAGACTGAGGACTTCATTGAAAAATTTCATAAGTCTGAGAGTGAGTTGCTTTGTGTTAAGTAGATTTCAAAATCCAAACCATCAATTTTTGAGTTCATGATCTTTGAAAGAATTTAAGGGAAGGATTTATGCTCTGGTTAAGAACCATAATGGTTGTAGAATACTACAGGCCATGTTTGAAAGACCAACAATAGAAAATGTGTAAATGGTTTTGTCTGAAGTGGTAGACTACATCAGAGATTTGATGAAAGATCAACATGGGAATTATTTTGTTCAAAACTTGTGCTCTAAAATGATGATCAGAAAATGTAAATACTTATTTTGCTGATTAAAGTCCCAACCAATATCATCCTTGTTTGTATGAATCCACTTGGGTATGTACAATTTTCGGGTTTCTTTGATTCCTTTTTTGCATTACATATAATGATCTTTGTGTTGTTGGCAATGTTATAGAACTAGAGCACTTGCAAGAGTTGCAAAAGTTGTTGGTACGAGTATGACTAAGACTGGATATTACAGAACTAGACAAGTTGCCCTTAAAAGTCATCTGATGATTTTATATATCATATAATAGTTATAAATGACATAAATAAAACAAATATTTTAAATAATTTAGTTATAAACATTTTTACACTAAATTTATATATGTAAATAGTTAAATAAGTACATATATAATAGTACCAAATTTTGAATGAAAAACTGATATAATTGATGGTAGTTCGAAAAAACCTGATTCATTCAAAGGAAAAGCTATTTTTTATATGGTTTTGTAGATCCTAATCAATTGGTGGAGGCATGGTGGAGATTATTACAACAACAGTGGTTGTAGAAGTAGAGGCAATGATGGTTGGTAGATGATGGTGGTTATGGAGGACGTGAATATTGTAGATAGTGGTGGTGGTGGTCGATAGTGGTGGATGAGGTAGTTGTGACAGATGTAGTGAAGGTAGCGGTATAATGGTAGTGGTAGCCAATGATGGTAGTGGTAGGTAGTGGTAGTGGTAGCCGAAAATAGTAGTGATAGTTATGATACAGGTGGAGGTGGAGATAGTGGTGGTCAAGGTTTAGTCATTGTGGCAATAGGAGGTGGTGGTTGGTTGCTGAAGGTGGTTGTGGAGGTAGAGGCAATGGTAGTTGGTGGACGACGGTAGTTGTAGAGGATGTAAGGATAGTAGATAGTGGTGGTGGTGGCGGTCGACAGTGATGGAGGAGGTAGTTTGGCCGATGTGGTGGAGGTAGTGGTGATAGTAGACAGTGGTAGGGGTAGCGATGGTGGTAGTGGTAGCTGATGATAGTTATGGTGGTTTTGGTAGAGGTGGAGATGATGGTGGTGGCCGATATACTAATGGTGGTAGCGATGAGTGGTAGTGGTTGATAGCTGAAGGTGGTTGTGGAGGTAGAGACAATAGTGGTTGGTGGACGTGAGAGTGGTGGTAGTGGCGTCGACAGTAATGGAGGAGGTAGTTATGGCCGATATGGTGGAGGTAGTGGTTGTGGTGGGCGATGGTAGTAGTAGCCAATTTGGTGGTGGTGGTTATGGTGGAGGTTGAGGTGGTGGTCACCGAAGGTACTAGTGGTGGTGAAGATGGGCAGTGGGGTTGTCGGTGGTAGATAGTGGTTGTAGAGGTGGTGAAGGAGGTAGAGGCGACTGACGGTGGAATGGTGGTAGTAATAGACGATGGTGGTCGGGGAATAAGGTAGTTGTGGAGGTAGTGGAGGTTGTTGTAGTGGAAGATGAGATAGAGGTGGCCGACAGTGGTAGTGGCGGTTGCGGCCGTGACTAGTAGTGGTGAACATTAAAATAAATATCATTTAAGGGTATATATATTGGGTTGGGTTTTGGTGAGAAGGAAAATCATGATGAGAAGCGTAAAAAGAGATCTCCCCCCTTGGGTCAATCCTAATTAAATGTCAACACTAATGAGGTGCACCGAGATGCACCAGATCAATTCCCTTCTAAAACGCAATTCATGGGTGAGTATGAGATTAAAAATGATCACGAGTTTAAATCTCATTACACGCTTCTTACTATAACCTCCCTTCTCACACGATCCTATGCCTATATATATATATATATATATCAAACAATACTAGATTAGTAATATTTTAGTTCTTGTCTCATCTTTGTTCCATCTTGCTCCACCTATTTTGGTGGAACAAGAAATTTTTTTTCCTATGCTGTCCCAATTCTTGTCCATGTCCTATGCTAGGACAAACATTGAACAATGAGTTCTTATCTTGTTTCATGTCGCAACAAACACGAGACAATGAGTTTTATCCCGTCTTGTCATGTCTTGTCCCATGTATCAAACACAACCTTAAAGAAGGTTTTTGTTTTTTCAAAAACTTTCTCTAAAAGTACCTTTTTGTAATGTTTATAAATTGTGATTAATGTTTGAAAAACATCACTAATACATACTTTTAGAGAAAGTTTTTTAAGAAAAACCAACCTGCATTTAGAGAAGCTTCCAAAGCGTATCTAAAGACCAAAAAAGTCTCTAAACATTGACATAAACATACCTTTTGAAAACCCTCCCTAAAACATTTAGTTACCCTTATATAGGGAATTTTTTTACGGAATTGAAAAGTTTCACTAAAACCTTTAAAGAAGTATTTTAGACTTTTAAGTACAAAACAAAATCTACTCCGAAAGTCATTTTTCTTGTAGTAGGTCAACGTTGATTATCTATGATCTGATCGCGACTGGGTTTGTTTTTATGGAAAGATGAAGTTTATCGATGCTTTATGGTTGAAGTGCATGGGTCGAATCTAATTTCTGTAAACATAGAAGTTCTGTTTTTTCAAAATTAATTAGTTCGCATTTCTAATAATCATTTTCATATATATTTTACGTTCCCTCAACGATTACAACTTTTAACTCATTGTTAATACGATATATTTCATAACTTTGTTTATGATTTTTGGTATATATTCAATTGAAAATTTGATTTTGCAATAATTATAATAGTTGGTTAGAGTATAATCCGTGAATAAAATCCTTTTTCTAACAAATCTAAATAAGTAATCTTAAGATGGCAAATAGACACCAACTGTAAGAAAGGGAAGTACTAAACCCTTTTATTTTTGGTGTCAAGAAATTGCTCTCCACGTCGGCTTTGGGGATTGTCCCAATATGGTCGACTGGTCTTGCTTTTAGGTGTTTTCATGTATTACTTTTTTCCAGTTTAGTATCATTGTCTGAGATGCTGTCTTCTTTGAAAAAAGGAACATGGCTCCATAATTATATGTGTAAAATGCTTTCATCAGTTTGTATATGCAAATTATTCATTCAGCCCACACAAATTTTGATTTACTATGAGAAAATGGTCGTGTAATGATTTCGTATGTAAAACTAAAAAATCCATGTTAAAAAGTTGCATTTGCTGGTTTTAAAGTAGGTCATGAAATTTACATGTTAACATTTGAGTGGATTTACCATATTATTTTGGCTTTTAAAAAATGGAAAATAAGCTCGTAAAGATTAAAAAAACATGCCATGTACATGTTCAATTAGAAATCTTTCATACGTACATGAAGGATGTGAAAGGTCTTTCTCAATGCTTAATGAAATATTAAAGTTCAATTTAGACGAAAAATCCTTAAAAAGTTAAAACCAATACGGAAGATCACCTTCGTTAACATACTATAAAAGGGAAACAGAAGAGAAATCGACCATAGTTAAGTTACCAATAAAAAGTGGTTTGACCAATTTACCCTTACATAAATTATAAAACACCAAATATTGATCATCATAAACCCTAAAAGAACATCACATAAGTTTTTAAATATATTTAAAACGCATATAGTACACGGAGTACTCGTGCATAACTATGCTTGAACATACAACCAATTGATAAAAGAAACATGTGATGATGTAGTTCATGTGTGCATATATATATATATATATATACACACGTAAGTCTTCTACGTAAAGATTAATTAAAAAAGTAATATTGATGTAAGGATTCTCCTTTTTGTCTAAAATCAATCCTTACACATACGATGGTCAAGACGTTCTAGATGATGCCACTATCCCTTTTCCGCGTAATTGCAATGTAATTGGTTTGTTAAGGTTTATTAGAAGTTACACATGATATATATATATATATATATATATTAACTAACATAAGCATAATTAATAAATGTTTGCTTAACCATGCTAGAATGTCATATAGTACTTGAAATTCTACATGATACGTACGTACTAGCTGATGAACATATTCAAAGAAGTGGAAAGAAAACGATAAGTGCATAAAATTTAATTAGCTAGATAGTTGAAGACTATTGATAATCCAAATCCTTAACCATAAGTTTTGTTTTTTTAGTCACCAAGAACATGCATAGCATCATGAGCAATCAGCCTTGGAAATATTTTAAGCAGAGTGACTGCTCATGATATTATCTCATCTCTTGATCGATCGATCTTCTTCAATTCAACGTACGCTGGCCCCGTGAAATTTAGTTAGACCTAAACCTTTGATCCGTTCATCGGAACCCTCCATTTAGCGCAGGAGCCCAATAATCTGCTCCGTTGTCACTCCCTACTTGCATTGTGCATGAAACTGGAACTAGACACAATCCTCTACTCCTCAAATCCTTAATCTTTGGTTCTTCATGAGAATCCTACGTTAATCAAGTCGTAAACCGAGTATCAGAAGAACCATGTTTAATCTTGAAAATAAAAGACAATTAATATTCATCATGGATTAATTTGACCCTAAAGCTAGAATTAAAGAAGTACCTGGTCAAGAACAGATCCTTTTAACTTCATGCAGCTATCGTTCAGAAGCTGATTAAGACACAAGATTAGCGGTAATTAAGAACTTGATCACGATAATGGGTCAACTTTTTGGTGAAATGAAAGTGAATGAAAAAGTTAATTTTATGCAGAGTATAAAGGTTGGAATTAATTAATATACCTGACCAGGGTCTTCAGGAAATAAACAATTTCTCTCTCCTTGTTGAACCTAAATATAAAAAAATAGCTGAATAATTAAAAGAGGATTTAATAAGATTCATCTTTACAACTTCCCCACATGCTCATATGTGAACACACATGCATTGCGGCAGAGGGAGAGAAGGTGCTGCGACTATTATTTCTTGCTTTGGGAAGATGAACACAAAATATATATATATATATATATATATATATATAGAGAGAGAGGGAGGAGCCTAATCAGATGATAACTGATTAATTTGTGGTAACTGTGAGGTCCAATCTCAATTACAAATTAACAGATAAATTAGAAAATTAATAAGTATGCTAGTTTGAGTTAAAATTATAATTAGAGGGCATATTAGGTATTTTTTAAAAACTCCTCTCTCCTCTCTCATCTCTCCGACCTCCAATCTCCGGCCTCCGATGAAATCGGTATCACAATGAGTATCACATTATATATTACAATGGGTATCACATTGTGTATCTTTGTGATTACTTGGTACCCACCGGATTAATGTTCACCGAAGGCCGGAGAGATGTGAGAGGAGAGAGGAGAAAGAATTTTTTTTAAAATACCTAAAAAGCTCTCTAATTATAATTTTAACTCAAATTACCATAATTATTAATTTCCTAATTTATCCGTTGATTTGTGGTTGAGATTGGATCTTACAGTTACCACAAACTAATCAGTTCTCTCTTAAATGAGTCTCTCTCTCTCTCTCTCTCTCTCTCTATATATATATATATATATACACACATACACCAAGGGTACAGGTATTTGGAAAATTATCATACAATTTCAATAATGTTTCCTGATATACAAACGTTGCTACGATGCATTGATCAGTCCACATGCATGGAGATATATATATATATATATATATATAATTTAAGCATTATTCATTGTATATATGTAGCGTATAATTTATATAGTCAACCCTAAATCGGGTTTTTTTTTTTGTAAAGTTTGTTATTAGCCCTTAAATATATCATTGGAAAATATGTTTCCAAAAACAGAAATCAAAACAAAATATATTCGGTTTATATTTAATTTGCATCCACATAATAAGTAGGCACGTATGTATAGGTATATATATATATATGAGATGAGGTGATGTATTATACGTACAAACTATATCATTTATACAACTCATACAGTCAAATCAATTGAAATAGTTATAAAAATAATAAGGGTTCATTTATTATGATTTGAATATTTATAAAAAATAATTATAGTTTATTAATTTGATCAACACTTTATATTATGAAAGAATCATATTTACTAAGCAAGATAAGTAGATGAACGGTTCAGATTGAGTTGTACGAATGACACATGTTGTATTTGAAACACCTCTAATATAAGATCGTGTGCAAAGTATGGTTTACTTACAGAGTGTTGAGGATGTCTCATGTTTCCAGATCCACTACCCAGGTATGGTAAGCTGAGGGCCTACAACATTTAAAGGCGTAAATAAACTATTACATCATAATGATATAATTCGAGTCTACATTTTATTTTAAATTAAATTAGTTTTCTATAAACTAACAATCATTCTCTTTAAATACAAAAACACTAATTAAGATGCATAAGAATGAACAATTTGACCAAACTATGAAATTTAAACGGTAACATTGACTTTTTTCAGTGAAAAGATGCTAGTTTTTTCTTGCATTTTCATAAACGACGATCGTTTATCATGAAAAACTAGTTTAAAAAGTTTGTGTTTAAACTAAAATCTATACACTTGAATCTTAGCAAAATGAAAATACCTTCATACTCTTTGGACATAGGAATATTTTTTTTCATTAACCTGGACATCAAACCCGCTATGCGAGCCGACTAATCCCAGGGCAACCACCTGCTTTGCAGATAGCCCGGAGTCACCGCATTTGAACCTCCGTGACCACAAGGGGATTTTTATTCTTTCTTGGATTTGAACCCATGATCTCCTGTTTGACCTTTGGAGTCAAGCTCAAACTAATAAAGCACCACCCTTGTGGTTCCCCGAATAGTTTTTCATGAAGTGAATACAATGTAGCAGAAATAGAAAGGGTTTAAATATATGGGAATAAAGGGATGCATAGCATAGTTATATAACAATATAAAAAAGCAAAATATTGTTGATGGAATATATTTAAGGAAGTGGAGCTTTTTGCTACTGTTTGTGTTTGTTTGTGGCATGACTGTACCTCATGGTAGTTTGTGAAAGATAAAATTAAAGAAGAAGAAGAAGAGAAGAAAGGGAAGTAGCATCACCTCAATTTGACTCTGAAGGAATCTTATGTAACCAATAGCTTCTAACAGCACAGAAGCTGTGTCAGTCTGCAACAAAGAAATTAAAATGGTAATTAATATTAAGTTCTCTTTTATATAGATCTAAAATTACTTATTTTCGTTCATTTACAACCTGCTTATAGATCACTAATGAATATCGAAGATTGGATTCGTAACTAAAATCTTTAAATGTACTGAAAATAACCGATTATGTAGATATGACGAGATAATAGAAGGTCGAAACCGTAACGATCATGGTATTTGAGAAAAAAACATACAGTTTCTCTCTTATCCAAAGGAGTTCAAGAAAAAAAATTAGCTGAAAAGAAGAAAGTTTTGTAAAATATATATGAACTTCTTTTTAAAAAAATTGTTGCAAAAAGAGCTTGAAATATAAAAAATTAATTTTTTATGCATAACAATGTTTTTTTCCCTAAAATTTAGCAACATTCCTATTACTTAGGGGCCGTTTATCTAAACACTTACCCGAAAAATTCAACACTATTGCTTATTTATCTGGCAAGATTTTATCCCGGTAAGCGCTAACCATGGTAAGAGTGTTTATCTTCACTTACCAGGTAAGATTCTTAGTGTTTGTCATATTCATCCGGTAAATTAAATTGACTTGGTAAGCGCTTACCCGCGTAAGTGATTGGTAAACGGCACCTTAGTTTTTGCTATTCATGTTATCAAAGAAAGTGTAAATGAGATAGAAATCTTTCTTCGACTCACATTTAAACGAGACAAAAAATTGTTTGTCGGCTATTTACGTTTTAAAAAAAAAAAAAATTTGTTTGTTAAAGCTTTTACTTGTAACCTTTATTTTGGTTGTTTCATATTGTTTACAAATGAAAAAAGGATGTAAATTATTTCAAATGCAAAAATCTCAAACTCTCCTTTTCTAATTTTGTGGGCAATCAAAAACCTCAACACTATTTACCTTTTAAAAAAGGGTATACACAAAACGTTAATAGTGTCGATAAACGAGGGTTCATAGAGAAGATATGTATATTTCTATCATCATCACATCAGTAATCTTATTAGTGTAGTAGTTCTTTTCTTCTGTGGCCCATAAAAGTGCAGACCATGCAAGGAAGAATGAATTATGAAACAAGCAAAGAAGACTCTCAATGGTTATTTTAGCAGTTTCTTTTCACTATTTTGCAATAAAATACTTTGTATGGAAAGAATTTGATGTAATTATTGTGATTTATTTTCACTTGACATGACCATCAATTATTTTCCTGGTGAAATTAAAAAAGAATTGTGTCATGTCATCCTCTAGTTTCATCTTTATCTTGCCCTCTGGAATCAATCTTCCATTACATGATGGATGCTTTCTTGATTATCAGATCCAATTGAGCTAATCATCATGTTAATTCATCTTTACTAATTATATGAACAGTTTAGAGCATCCTCTACCTTTCCAAATGGAGAAACAAGCTGATGAAGTGCTGTTATTCTGTCCCCTAATTTTTCTTTCCGCACCTGTTTTTGACATCACAAACAAGAAGAAAAATCAAAAGGAGAAGTTGTATTTTTGCAATGATTGCTATAGACAACTCTTTATATATTTAATTTTTAATACTATTTATCTCCTCTTTGTGTGGATATAAGAATAGATGAAGTAAAGAATCATCATGGCCTGAAGAAATGGACAATCAAGAAGGACAACAGTTATCTTCCAAAAAGTACGTCTTCCCTGTGTTTGGGTTTTCCTCTCTTTGTGTTTGTGTGTATGTGGAACCAAGAAAGAGAGAGAGAGAGAGAGAGAGAGAGAGAGAGATCTGAGCTGAGATAAATTACCTTGAAGGTAGATTGGTTTGAAGAAGGTTGAATTTTAGCCTTCTTGGATGCCCCACCAGTAGCAGTGCTGTTGCACTTCATAAATTGGAAACAAAAAAAGAAGTAAGCGATCAAATTACACAAGTTCATGTACTTCCAGGTAAATTTTGTGTGAATCATTTGTTTCCAAGAACTGATTTATTAGTCTTGTACCAATTAAATGTTTATAGTAGTACTTGGACAATAAATGAACACCAATCGAGGCTCGAAAAGATACATGTGACCATCCAGAAAAAAGGGTACGGGAATTCCAAACTAATCTTGTATTAGCGCAAGAATACTTTTATCTAAATCTTGAAGCTAGTATCATATCTTAGACTCTTCTCTTTTGTATCAGAAAGAGAGAGTTACCTCAGATGAGCGATCCGGTGGAGGATGTCTCCCATCTGCCTTGTTACTAATGGTGGTAGAGAAATCAAGCATATTGTTGCTTAAACTTGAGATACAAGAATTGGGAGAAGAAACTGGGATCATTGGATTAGACCAATTGTTTGATTTTACACCATGAAAATCAGCGTTGCCATGGCCATAAGATGATCCATAATTAAGTGAATTTTCTTGCTTCACTGCAGATTCTACCATGGAATTAACATTTGGAGAGCTGTGATGCTGCTGCTGCTGCTGCTGCTGATGATGATGATGATGTAGTAGCTGCTCTTCCCAATTCTCCAATTTCTTGACTTGTTGCATATGGCTCAAAGCTGATTTATCATCTTCACCCACCAATCCACCCCTATTAAATTATATACAAAGATCGGTGTATTAGTTAGTCAATCTATGCATGTCTGTTGGCTGATCAGTATTTATGTTGTGCATAACGAACCAGAAGATTTGAAATATGCATACTGAGAGGAACTTATGGAGAAACCCATGTACCCTAACTTGTTTCAGACACGATTATATTTATTTCGAGATCATCAGTCATAAACTACAATATCATATATATATATATATATATATAGAGAGAGAGAGAGAGATAGAAAGACGAGAGATTGGTTTACATGAGTAATTGGCTTAATGAATCTGGAAAATCTTGATTATCATGCCATGGAGATAGTGAAGGTGGTGGCGCTGGTGCATATTGATGAGGAAAGAAGTGGGGTTGTGCCGAGGTGGCAAAGAAAGGAGACTGAGGAGGAGGTGGTGGTGGAGAAGGTCTGCTGCTGCCCATCATGCTCCACCAGCTGTTCGGGCCGCCGGCCAGCATTTGTTGCACCGGTGAACTTTGCAACACATTTCCTCTATTCATTTCCCCTCTCAAAAGAAACAAACATACAAAAGATTAGCTTTCCCTTCTTGCTTTAATATTCTCTCTCCCTCTCTTTCAATTTGGCTTTTTCTTGAATCTCCCCCAAGCTAACACCCCTGTCTTTGTAGAAACTTTGGGAGGTCTTCCAAGACTTGATTAAGTAGAGAGAGAGAGAGAGAGAGAGAGAGAGAGAGAGAGAGAGAGAGGAGTGTATTTTTGAATGATGGGGTATTAAGAACCTTTTTTTGTCTTTGTATTCTCTCCTTTCTTTATTAGCTTTCTCTTTTCTTTCTTTCTTTTTTTGTTTTAAATGTTTTTACTTTTCTCTTTGCTTTTGCTTTATCATCAAAGTAGGGCTGCAGGAAAAAAGTTGGTGCCAATTCTATTTCACTTAAATTAAATAAAAAAAATAAAAAAATATAGGGATGGTGTCTGATTGGTTTGAGCTTGGCTCCAAAGATCAAAAGAACCAGGAGGTCCCGGGTTCAAATCCAAGGAGGAATAAAAATCCCCTTGTGGCCACGTAGGTTCAAATGCGGTGACTCTGGGCTATCTGCAAAGCAGGTGGTCGCCCTGAGATTATTCGGTTTACATAGCGGGTTGAATATCCAGGTTAATAAAAAAAAGAACTAAATAAAATGGTACTGGTAATAATAATTGAACTTAACCCCTTCTATGATAACTCTAGAGTGCGTTAACTAAGTTTATCTCATATATATATATATGCTTTAATTGATGGCAAACTCCTGTCCATCTTAATCAGGTCATTAAGTCAAGAATTCAACTCAAAATCCTTCTCGTTATGCGCATTAATACACACGAAACGAAAGTACTCATGGAACCAATTATAATGCATAAAAAAACCGTACATTTATACATATACACAACACTGACAAAAGAAGTTCACTCAAAAACAGTGTTGTTCCAAGTCTCCGATATCACGTCAAAACGTTAGCTAACCATAATATTACTAGATAACTTTTTATGACTCGTGTTTCGTTGGACTTTTTATCAAGAAGGGATGGTAAATAATAGTCAAGTCTTTCCAATACTTAACTTAAACAACTCAGCCATTGCTTTGGCAAGGCAAAGCTCGAGGAGATCTTCATAATTAAAGATAAGTTAGGGCAAAAAGTTAACCAAGAAAGAGGGAATGGTAAAAGGTGCTTGTATTTAGATATAAATAAATATTATCTCCCTTTTAAAATTAAAGTTTATTATTTCAAGTGTTAGATGATTACTCTTTGTTGTATGTATTTTCCGTACATGCATTTATTTACAATATCCATCATCATTATTATTATGTTGGAACCTTTTGATGTTGTTGTCAAAACATATTCATATAAATTTTTATTACCTATAATTAATTTATATGTATTTATGATCAAAATATGATAAATGATGTAGAATACATTAACATTTTCTAATGTCAAATTCAAAATATATGTATTAAGTAATTGTAGATGAAATTTAAGTGATTTGTTACATAAAATGTTAATTAAACGTAATTAAAAACAATTTATGCCCAAAAAATGTGGATTTAAATTTGAATTTGAAAAATACCGGCTTTGAAGTTTCAAACTACAAAAACAATGCTAATTATGAGACGAATTAAACAGTTCATGATAATATGTTTTGTCTTCTTGAAGAAAAATCTAATCTAGATTCAGAGTACGAACTTTTTTAAAGGTGGATCAAAAGTAAACATCCAATAGGTTGAGATTTAATTTCAAAGGAATACCCTCTTGATTTTATATAGAAATATAAACACTGGATTTTATTTTTCTTAATTACATAAAGATTAAATAACTTTTTCTTAATATATATAGGACGTTTCAAATGGAACTCATCATATTTGTATAACAAATGCAACCCAATTAATTGAGATATTTATGAAAATAATAAAAACTCATTTATTATGATTTGAATATATATGAAAGATGACTACAGTTTATTAATTATGATCAATACTTTATATTAAGAAACAATCAAAACTTTTATGAAATCATATATTTATCAAATTAAATAGACGGTTAAGATTGAGTTGTATTAGTTGTATAAATGTAAATGGTTGCATAATAACTCACCTCTCTCTCTCTCTCTCTCTCTATATATATATATATATATATTATTGTTATAATAATTATTTCATCTATGTCAAAAACATGTAAAAAACTTAATAGTATATATATATATATATATATATATATATTCCTAAATTAAAAGTCATTTGTTCAAATACCATATGAAAATTATTTCTTAAATACACGTGTTTACTCATGAGTAATAATTTCTAAAAATATATCTTTAGAGTATTAATTTAAATATTGAAAAGAGCTCTCCTTGTTTTAGAACGAATTGAAGTCTGAGTAATTTAATATATTTCTTAATTTCCAATTGAAAACACATATTGGTGATGATATACTTTTCCCTTTTACCATGAATCCTAGTATTAAAACGTAGTTGAGTAGTTTATATATTATATATTTTTATTTTTGATGAAAAAGATAAGTGACTATACTTTTTCCCTTTATCTCGAAGAAATGTTTACAACTTTAACGAAAATCACTTCGTTAAGTAACCATAGATGATTGACTGCGAAGCCGATGATATAGAATACGACATTCATCGTAACATCATTTAATTAGTTGTGACTTGTAAAAACTATTTCACTAGTCTATAATATGAGTAACATTGAATAAAACTATTTTTGTTCAGAAACTATTTTATCATATAATCAAAACGGATTATAAATCTGTGTATCTGACATACACAAAATTTGATAATTAATTCAAAAAGATTAAAATAAATATATATGATCAAACCCAAAAAGAGTTTGTGTGAATTTGTCTGCATTTATATACATGTGTATATATATATATATATATATATATATAAATAAATAAATATTCATATATAAATCATTGAAAGACAAAAAGAAAATACAATCGGCAAGTTATGAAACCTCGTAGGAATTCATATATATGAGTAATTAGTCGATGAGATCGATCTCACTTCACTCAGTCCACTCCATTTTATTTATATAATTCTTATCGTTTCTTGACTATTTTAAAAATTAAAAAATTAAATTAAATTATTAAAATGTTTTTTACATGTATAATAATATTTCTCTCAATAAAATCAAGGTTCATTATTGATAGTAATATAATAAAAAATTGTTTCTGTCTCATGGTATTCATTTTTGGGAAGTTTCACAAATTTAATGAATTTCATGTTCTCTCATGCTTTCTCTATTTTAAATAATGTTTTAAAAATCTACTGAAACAAAATATATCCAAACTCTCAATTTCTTTTACTTTAAAGAATCTGTTAGAGATGCTCTCATGAACTAAATTATTTTTAAAAATAATTATGGAATTTTTTACTCCTTTTGTTTTCCTCGTATGAAGTTAATGATTACATGGTGCTTTGTAACATTTCATCTAATTTTTTGCATTTATATCTTTACAAACCTAATTGAGCTACTAATTAATTTGTAATCATTTTAATTAATTAAGAAATAAATCTAGATTTGGGCATCATGAACTCAAGAGCAATATATAACTACATAAGATTTAGTTGGCACTAATTTATCACTTGTTAGAACATGTATTATATTTATGTAGCCATCAAATATGTTATGTGTTTTAAAAGATGCAATCACTACTAGAAAACCAGTTATCAGATTAAATGTTATCTAACATTCCTATTTACATAAGCATCTATAAAATATTTATCTGATATTCTATTTACATAAAAATCTATAAAATGTTTATCAGTTTTCGAATTATGTTCTCCAAAATAGTAATCAAGTTAAAGTACGTTATTTTTTCATGCAATTTGTCTTCCCTATATGATATACTGTATTACATAAACTTGATAAAAAAAATCATCTTAAATATTAATTTTTGGATATATTCAAGCAAGTTATGCATGAAGCATGTGGTTCATGAAAAGTTTGTCGATAGGGGCGTGTTTGATGACTGTAATTTTAACCTGTCTTCTTGTAGTTTCTTGTAACCGTTAGTCTGATTACATTCCTGATGGGCATGTGGAGGATATTAGTTTTATCGCATAAACAGAAGAGCAATTAAATTATCCAAATGTACAGAGAATGAATACAACACTCATTACAAAATTAGGTCAAATTCTAGGGTTTGGAGATCTCCAACCCTAACCAGGTAGCCAGGGAATGTTACAATTACCAAAAAATTTGTAGTTTTCTTTCTTGGGGGTATAAATGGATTTACATCCAAAAAAATCCAAATTTCAGAAATGTCATCAAAATTGTAATAAATTTTTACATTTATTATTTCTCTTCTTTGATAACTTATTTAAAAAAGCTTGTTCATTAATATGTATATATACATGATATTGAATTTTAATATATATATATGTTAACTATATATCATTTGTTTATTAATAATTTTTGATATTTTGTTATAAAAACGCATGCATGTTGACTTATATATAATTAATTAAAATATTTAAACTGTCTTTTAATAATGATAAGAATAAGCTTAAATAACTTTGTGGACTAAGGGAGTGTTTAGGATTGATTATAAAAACAATTTATTAACTTATTTCGATGTGATATCGATGTATAATAAATACTTTTGAGTTTAAATACTAAGTTGATAATAATTTTAAAATGCATGAGTTTAAATACTAATTTGTAAAGAAAATAACAAATAATTAAGTAGGTTATTTTTATTAAAAAGAAACTATTATGTGATATCCCAATTTTGTTGACTTCCGCACAAATCCGTCATTGGATTAAAAAAATAAAATTTATTTCGAACTTTTTTGACAGATTTTGACGGATTTGACAGATTATTTACTTATTTTTTATTTTGCAAAAACCGTCAAAATCCATCATAAAATTGATCTAATTTTCTTAAAATATTAATTAGCCTGGAATATTTAGAAATTGTCTCAACAAGTTAACAATATATCATATTGTATTAATAGTTAGTCTTGAATCTTTCAAAATATTTATGTTCAAGTAATAAAGTTTTACTTTTCGTATTTACGATATATTATTTAATAATATACGATCTGTTTTAAATGATACTCATACATTCTTTATTCAAGCCCTTCGAGAGTTATCTTTGAAGTCTATAATCACCAAAAATACATAT